AGAACGGGGGGACAGGTGGCATCCACGGGAGTGATTGGGAATATGGGCAGGCGGCATCTGATCTGCAGAGGGATGGGGGGCAGGTGGGATCTGTGGGGGCGATGGGGGATAGGGATCATCAGGAGCAATGGGGGGCAGGTGGCATCTTCAGGAATGATCAGGGGGATGGGGGGTAGGCAGCATTTGTGGGAGGTTGCTGGTGTTTAGGAGGTTTTGGTGGGATCACAGGGACTTGCATGGTTCACAGGAGGGCTTGGGAGGAACTAGAGGCTATTAGCCCCCCAACCTCCCCCCCATGAACCTACCCTCCCATCCCTCCCTCCACTGAAACTTATTTGATTGGCAAACAGTGATAAAACTGGCACTGGGACTGGCTTGTGGGATGGGGGGTTGGAGGGGCTGGCTGATCCACGAGGTGGGGCAAGAAGCTGTGGGTCTAAAAATAGCCTGGTGCCAGGGAGGCAAGGAGGAAAGGCACAGCTGCAGGGCCGGGACCAGCAGCTGGGCTGTTCCAGCCTTTGAGCTGCACAAGTGACTGTAGAAAAATAAGATGCCCTGGTCTAACCTACATTGATTAAATTGGTACTTTATTTATTCAGGTCTATCTTAGATTAGGTGTCACCACTTTTAGGCCAGTCTGTGTGCACAGAATTACTGTACTGTTAATTGCTTAGATCGATTTCCGATCACTGAGACTGGGTCTAAGTATAAGGTGTACCCCTGGATAAACCGAGTTAGATAAGATAGCTGTTTTTAACCTGATTCAACCTCTCCCTAAGCTCCCGATTTTCTGCACTTAGCCTTAGTCTACAGAATACAGGTGTTTATGTAGCTGTGTACAAACCTAACTTTGTAAAATAGAGTTCTGATTGTAAATCAAATGTTTTTCCTCAAAAAGAACAATGAAAATAATACTTGATTGATACACAGTGTCAACCTATAAGTAGGCCCCCTGATAATTATGCCATAACTCCTGATTTTTGGTTGACCTTCCCAGATACATTAAACATAGTAATGCAGAACAGGGGTCCGCAACATACAGTGCAGCTCCTTGCCACCCATGTGCAAGAAGCCTCCTGTTTCTAGAATGGTGCTAAAGCCTCCCATCATCATCATACTGCTGAAGCTCCCTGGCTCCATGGGCTGAATCCAGAGGCAACACAGACCAGATCTGCCCCCCAGGTGGTAAGTTGCTGACCTCTGTTCTACATTATTACATTCAATGTATGGTTATTCCAGCCTGCAGCTTGGGCAGGTTGCCCGCTGCTGGTGTACAATACTGTCAAATGAGGGGTACAAAGAGTAGTTTTACCTAAAACTGAACTGGAAAATATGGGGTTAGTGTATATGCTGGGTTGACACAATCAAAACTGCACAGCATGCACACAGAAGGAAAGGATGTTTAGTTATCTCTTCTATTTGAGTTAAGGAACTAAACTGAATAGCTGCATGGGTTCCTCAAAATATATTTCTGGGAGTCTAGTGAGAAGCAGGGAATATTGTGAACTCAATATTGCCCTCCAAGAAATAGGTAGGTTACCATAGGCAGAACTTTGTTTCCTTGCCATCAGCCTGCCATGAACACTGCTGAATCAGCTTGGTGGCTTATACCCAAGAGATTCAAGGAGGCAAGTGTGGAGTTATGCTGGCATATTGCAGGGTGCCCAACTTCTTTTACACACTGCAGAGGAAAACCTCAGCTTGACCCAGCAGAACAGATGACAACAGCAACTGTTTTCTTATTTTAGTAGTAAGAGGAAGGGTGCAAGATAAAGGAATATGACAAAGACTCCAGACTATTACTATAAAGTTCATGTAGGGACAAGTACTGTTGTTTTTTAAAGTTATACTAACGACTTGTTCATTTTCAGCTCCTCTCTCTACTGACCCATTTTTCTTTAGATAATTCAGCTGCTAACTAAATACAAGCAGGAATTGCAACTGTTTCTTTTTTTACTTTTATTTTAGGAAACACATTTATACTATGGATTTTTTTTCTATTATATTTTCTAAATATATTCGACAGTAGTCAGAAGGAAATTAAGTAGGTCTCTTTCTCTGTCAGGAAATCAGGATATATCTCTAACACTATACTAGAAACTGTGGTCTTCCCATTGGCTTCAACTGACTTTGGAACAGGTCCTCTATTTCCTTTAAATGGGTGTGTGTGTGCGTGCACGCGCGCGTGCGCATGCGTGCGTGCACACACAGAGAGAGAAAGGGAGAGAGAGAGTGCACATGCGAGAGATCTAGCTCAAGGAAGGGCAATTATTTCAGCTGGAGGACCACTTAATGAGTTTAGGTGAGCTGTTGAGGGCCACAAAGATGCATCCTTTGCCAAACTGCTAAGCCCCGCCCCTTGACAGGAGCCAGGCCCCCTGGCTGCCACCCAAACTCCTGCTCCCTAAACCCTCACCTTTGTCACCAGAGGACCCTTCCCATTGCTCTGGCCATACTCCTTTTGGGAGGGGGAATTTGCAGTTTTGGAACTGGAAGTCCCATCCTGTCACATGGTCCATTACATAAGAAAGTCCTCCCACCCGACACCAAACTTTGCCATGCTCACCACCATGTTGGTCCCAGAATCCCCTATCTCTATTACATGTTCCCTGACATTAGAAGATCCACCCCTTGACTGAGAAACACTGCCCTTTCACAGGGCCTGCCCTCCTGGTACATGGCCTGCCCCTGTGGCCCCAGAACTTCTGCCCTCTAGGCCATGAGGCACAGGCATGACCCTATCAGGTAGCAAGGGGTTGTGACCTCTCTAACAACCTGCCCCATCACCCTCAACTAATCAGTGGGGGGGTTCAAAGGCATCAGACCTCCCCAAGAACACCGCCAAACTGATTGAGTTGAGGGCTACACATATAAAGTCTTTCAGAAGAAGTCATTTTTAGCAAAGATTATCTACTATAAAAGATTTTAATTTTATTTCAAAAAATAATTTTGTCCTGATTTATGTTTTTTTGAGCAGTGTATATAAAGGCAATTGCATAATAGCTCAAAATAGAGCCTTACACTTGTATGCTGTATGCTGCCCAAAGTGTGGGTATGGTATACTAAACCTCTTGAATCTATTTCAGTTGGTCACCCCATTCCTCCCTGACTCATTCCCACCAGTGGTCTCACATGCTGCAACCTGATGGAATATGTTGACTAGGGACCATCTCATCACAGGAACAGACTCTGGGTTACCCTTGTCTGGATGGGATCCTCTCCACCCCTGTCTACTTTTGCTCTAGCTGTGTCTATTAGCTCTGACTCCACTATATAGGAATCCAGGCTTCAGATGCAGTGTAGCATGGTGCTAAAGCATAACTGCCAAGCCAGGTTGCAGCAATGTTTTTCTGTCTTAGCTGGCCCCTCTCTGCTGAGCTCAGAGTCAATCCCTTGTTCTCATCCCAGGCTTAGCTGGCTACTCCCAGCCAGACTCAGAGGGTGCATCTACACATCACTCTACAGTGACATAGTGGCACATTACGTCTCCCTACAGTGTGCTACAGTGATGTAGCAGTCACATGGTTCTACACATAATTGCCAGCTATGTTGCTGTAATGGCGTGTCCCCCAGTATAGCATGCCACTACGGTGATGTAGTGGCAAAATCTAACCACACACCGTGTGCACAGTGCAATAACCACCCATACTGCACTGTACTTTAGTACTTCCAAAAGGTGTGGAACACATCTAGACTCCCTTTCTTGATTTCTGTCCTCCCTTTCTCTCTGTCTGGTCTCTCCCTCTCCTCTATCACAGCTTGGCCTACTGGGTCATGGCTGATCCACCATTCTGGAAATCAAAGGAAAATATCCTAACATGGGTTTACTTTATCCTGGGCAGCTTGTTTCAAGTCCCAACCAAAAATGAAACCAAAAAGCTTTGGAATTTATTTGCTTTCTTAGTGCAATGCTGCCGGTCTCTCCAGCTTCAGTGTCTCTCCGGGTTACTCTTCAAGTCAGTCATCATCTCTGCAGGGAGCTCCTTCCCTTTTGAACTCCTGCCAGTCCTCTGCCTCTGTGCCTGGAGTTGGGGCTTCACATCATGCCAGTGGGTCACCTGACTCCTCCACTTCTGCCCAAGTTGTATTGCTTCCCTTCCCCTCGGGACTGCAGGCTAACCCTGTTTATAACCAGAAGCTCATTAACCCAAACCACGTGAGGAGTGTGTGTGTGAGTAAAGAAAGAAAGAGACAAACAGGTAAAACTATTCCTGAACCGGCAGGAGTGGGGGTGGGAGGGAGAAAAAGAAAGTGACATGAAAGCGCAAAAGTTACTAGTGCAAGAAAACCCTTAAGAACCCAAACTCTCTAGTAAAGGGGTAGGGGCCCCATTAAAATATTGAAAATTAAGTTAAAGAAAAAAACTCACTCAATGGGAAGAATAAACCCTCTGATGTGCATTAACCAGAGAATCAAAGTCTGGCCCCATCTCCGTTGTTGCAATGCGGAGCACTGCTGCAAGGTGGTCATTACTCATCGAAGATCTAAGATTTGATTTATTGACTTTCATTACAGAAAATGCCTGCTCATATATGTGTGTTGATCCAAACAGCACAAGCTGATCTTTGGAAACTTCTGTTCATTGATAGAGGCAAAAAACCTAGGTAGCTGCACTAATTTGAATTGCTCCACAAGCAATGCATCACATTGCAGGTCAATAAGCTCGAGTTGGGGGTCACATGGAGCATTGACAACATCAAATGTGAAACATAAGGAGATCAAAGACTGGTCTTTTTCTATTATTTGTAAATCCTTGAATCAAAGAGAAAATTCAGCATGCAAGTTCAGTAGTAACAATAGGTATTTTTTTAGGTTTTGATTACAAATAGTAATCTGCCGCCACGTAGGAAAATGGCTGAAATCTTTGGTTCCTATCTGATGGGAGAAAAGGAGTAACTTCATCATAAATGACTTGACATTGGAATCCAATTCATGATTAAAAAGCTCATCCCTTGCAGTCCTGAATTCAGATTGTTCATGTAGCCCATGATAACAACAGCAAATGTAAAATCAGAGAACCAATCTGCATTATTCAGCTGTGGGAAATCCAAATCTTTTCCTTTCATGTTAAAAAATAAACCAATCTCTGGCTCTCAGTTCCCAGACACTTTTCAAAACATTACTCAAACTAAGCCATCTTATGTTAGTATGATACTGAACACCTGTGTACTCAGATTCAGATTTCTCAAGCAGAGTTACAAATTGCCTGTGGTTTAATCCTCTTGCTCAAATGCAGTTGACCATTTTCATAACTGTGTCCATGACAGTGCTTAGTTTTATAACACTTTTACAGAGGACCTCTTGATAAATAATACAGTGTAGAAAAATAATTTTCTGTTTTGGATTTGTTTCTTTCTCTTGTTATTGAATTCGTTTCAGCAATCCAAACTGTTTGCCTGTCAGATCTGGGCTGCCATTAGTGGTCACACTCACCAATTTTTTCCACTGCACTCCTAATTTTGACATGCATTGATTTACTGCCTCCAATACATCTTTTCTAGTTGTTGTATCTTTTATTGACTGCATTGATGCCAATTCTTCTGTGAGCTCAACATTTTCAGTAATACCTGGAGTGAAAATCAACAACTGGGTTGTGTCTTTGACATCACAACTCTCATCAAGTGCCAATGCAAAATATGAGAAATTGTTTGCCTTATTTTTCAACCACTGGTCCAGGTTCTCAAAGATATCCTTGACATGTCTCACAGTAGTTTGCCTTGACAAGCAAATGTTCTCATAATGCTTATTCTTGTCTGGGCAACAAATTGCAGCAGAGTCAACCATACATTCCTATACAAATCCCCCTTCAGAGAATGGTTTCCTCTTCTTGGTGATTTTGTGTGCAATCTCATAATTCATTCTCATAATTCTATCCTGTGCCAATACTTTTGTGAAAAAAGATTTGCTCTTTCTGCATTCCAGAAACCATCTTCTCAGCTTTCTTTGCTTTTTCTTTGGCAGACAATTTTTCATATCTGAATGCATGCTTGGTCTCAAAATGCCAATTCAAATTGTATTCTTTGAAAATTGCCACACTTTCTTTGCAAATTAAACACACAGCTTTTCTACCTACATTGGTAAAAAAATATTTAGAAGTCCATTCTTTGTTGAATATTTGGTATTCAGTGTTTACCTTCCTTTCTTTGATGAGCTCATTTCCAAACTTTTATTCTCCCGTGCAGTGGTGATATTAAGGATATAAATATCATTTAAAAATTACCTGTTTAAACTCTTCTAATTATGTTGTTTAACCATAACAGATATACTTACTGGTCAGATCCTGTTCTCTCTCCCTGTCAGCATCTGCCCCCTGCTGCTGTGGGGCACAGAAGCCTTGGCAGGAGGGATATAGGGTCTAAGCCAGTCTTATGCTCTGAGGGTGCTGTGGAAGACAGGTTCCCAAAGGGACCGGCCATGTTCTTGGAGGAAAGGGGCATCTGTAGCTATGAAGCCTGGGCATGGGAGGCAAGCAGAGCTTCCTGGCCCCTCAATGCTTCCTTCCATGTCCAGCGGTGGCCTTCAAGTCCATTCATAATCCTGAAGAATCCAACCCTGGGGTGGCAGCAACCTTGGCCCCAGCTACCAAAGGCAAATGAAGAAACCCCTTCCACTGTTACTGTCTCCTGTCCAGCAGCCCTGCACAGAGCCCTCTGCCCTAGGCTGCTGCTGCCTCTGTGGTCTGGAGACCACGGCTGAGACGCATTTTCACTGGAAAAGACACCTGCTTCCTGCCCGAGACCAAGGAATTTCTTTCCTTCCAACTTGGCAGCTGCTCAGGTGCCTCTCACTTCCCTGCCCTGAGGCTGCCATTATGACCAGGACCAAAGCACATGGGGCTGTCAGCATTTCTCAGGATGCCCCTGCCCTTATGTTCATTTAGATATCCTTGCTCTAACAGCTGCCCAGGTGTTTGGGGAACTTGGCCAGGTAGCCAGATGAGGCCCATATTCATGCCGGTCATAGTGGGTGGCCTGGAAGCCACAGGCAGGGCAGGCAGCATGCCACCAGATCTCTTGCCTGCACCAGCAGGTAGAAGTGGCACATGAAGGGTAGGTTCACGTGGGCCAATAACTGAGGCAGGAGCAGCAGGCCTCCTGTGGGTACACAGTATTGCTGTTGCCCATGTCCCTGCCAGGACCTGGTACAGCCCTCATTGCCCACAGGTCCTGGCCCAAGTCCTGGGAGCATGGCTGGGTTGTTGCATGAGCCACACACTGAGTCCTGGATTCAGTTCCTGGCCCCGGTCTCCAATGGGCAGGCAGCTGCGCATGATGGCACAGAGTGGTGTTGGCCCATCCCAGTCCCTTTGTCTGCAGCTCTCCGCCTGAGTCCTGGGAGTGCAAGACAGCTACCAGTGGTGGCATAAAGTGAGGCCAGGCCTGGCTGGGATTTCCCATGGCTCCTGGCTCCATTTTCCCCACTGGGAGTCCCTGGCCCACAGCTTGGAGGAGCCCTTACCTGAACTTCCATACCCATGTGAAGGGAGGGCTGGGACGCAGCAATAGGGTCACCAGGAAGAAGCCTCTATCAGGCAGAAGCTTTCTGTCTCATGCAGCCCCTACTTTGGGGTTGGGGGCAGGATTGTTAGGCCAGGCTATGGTGAGGGTTGGTTGCCTAGCAACTACAGCTGGAGCTGCTGCTGTTGCCAACACCTGCTGCATGGAGGGTAGAGATGTACTGGCTTCCAGAGGGGCAGCTGCAGGCTGGGGATAATTGATCACATCATAAAGATGTGCCCCATCCCTGCTGGGAATGGGGAACTGGAGAGAAGGGAATGCAGTGACCGAAAAGCTGGCTCCCATTTGAGCCTGCCCAGCAGGGGAGAAAGGAGGGGTGGCAGCTGGTCTTCCAAACAGAGACTCAGAAGAGTCTCAATACTTACCTGCGTCCAGTAAACATGGGATGATGATGTGATGGACAGCAACCATAGCACCAGGACATCCTCATTGTCCTGTAGGAAGAAGACAATGAACAGTGAGTTAATTGTGACAGAAGAGGGCTATCCCCCTGGGATCCTTAGATAAAGGTGCCCCGTTGGAGTCCTTTCTAAAGCTAAAGTGCAACAGAAGGTACTAGAGGGCTGAACCCAGCTGGGTGTAACTTACTTAAGCCCCAAAGACTGAGTTAAAAATGGGTTATTGACTGTGCCATACTATAAACCAGTCGTGAAGACAGGAATACCATGTATTCCAAAGACAGCAGACCTGAGTAAGACCTGTAATATTGGGTTGATGCAAGGATGGGGTGAAAGGGGAGGCAGAGCCCCAAGGAACAACATATCACTAAGAGTTTATGGTGAATTAAATCAAGTATCCTTCCTCTCTTTTTTCATATGTTCATCAAGACATGGCAGGAAAGACGAGGAGTGCACGCCATTAGCGATTACCTACCATGTCAAACTGTCAGGCCCTAAGCACTGGTGAACAGTAGATCACTCCTCAAAGAGTAAGTGGCTGATCTCAACAAAGCACACTCGCTTACAGCTATATAGATACATCTCTATGTTGAGATGGATCTATTTCAGGGAAATAGATGTGCTGTTGCAAAGTCACCTGAAGACAATGTGAAGACTGCAGTTTCTAGGACCCCCTCTACACATGCGGGAAAGGTGCAATGGGATCTAATGCACAATCCACACAATCATGCCTGCTACTGTAGTATACACGCATGACAGGAGATGCAGTTGTGGGATCACGCATTAGAACCTATCATGCCTTATTGCCGGTGTAGGGGGAGCCAAATCCTGGTCTCCCCCTGCATTGACAAGAAACAGGCTCCCATGGCTTGGCATTCCTAGGCATGGGGTCCATGTGCAGCTGGGACTGTACTCGATGGCACAGAACTCTCAGTCCCAGCTGTACCCCACAAACAACCAGGACTGAGAGCTCTGTCACCTGTGGGGCTCTCAACTTCCACAGCCATGCAGGTGCATGGAGTGCCCCACAGCTGGGAGATCACAATGGTTGGGAGATTGTAGCAGCTGCAGTCTCCCAGCAACAGACTGCCTACACATGCAAACTAAAGCTGGATAGAAACCAGCTATAAGGTTATTACACATTTTTGAGCAATAGCTTTATACCTGGTTGGACCTTTTTAAGATGCAATAGTTAAATTGTACATATAGTTAATTGGCATGTTAATTTGCACGGGTCTAAATTTATTGAACAGTTAACAAGGTATGTATGTATGTATGCATGTGTATGTGTGTGAGTGAGTGTGTATGTGTGTATGTATGCACGTGTGTGTGTATACATACACACATACTTACACATATATGCATATGCATGCATACATACATACCTTGTTAATTGTTCAATAAACTTAGACTAGTGCAAATTAACATGCAAATTAAATATATGTGCAAATGTATAATAACTTTATAGCTGGTTTCTATCCAGCTTTAGTTTGCACGTGTAGGCAGTCTGTTGCAGGGAGAAAAAAGGAAGAGTATATATATATAAGTATATGTGTGTATATATACATATGTGTGCGTGTGTGTGTACACACACACACACACACATACATACTAGGCTCTCTCTACATGTTATATCTATTGCATATATATAAATCTGTCTATGTGTGTGATTGTCTGTCTATCTGTCTATGTATATAACCAAACTTTCCACTTACTCTTTCTAGGACTTTGCTACTTACATAAGTAAAGTACCTTTTGTCACTTTGTTTTATAAGCACTGTGGGTTCTCAGTTCATATGCTTCATTTTTCCTTTCTTCTCTAAGGGCACAAGTCCCTAGTGTATACAGTGAGTTGAGAAAGAGAGCAGCAGTCCAAGTATTTTGTGATTATTATTTGTTAGGCAACAAATACTTCATCAACAGTGATGATCCTCTGGATCACCCATAATCTCCAATACAGTAATTTGAATTTCACCAGGTTCTGTGTGAGTGCTAGGGCTGCTAAATGCATATCTGAGTTAAGTGGTGAAAATCCTCTGCTTCTTTCTCAGGATGCTCCTCTGGGAAAGATCTTCAGGTTGTGTAAATGATTAGAGCTCCATCAGAAGCAATGGAGGATGGCAATTTGTCCAAGCTAAGAATTTGCCATGGCTTGTACACTCTTCCATAAGCACCCATACCTCACATCATCTCACTTTCTCTTATTCAGTCCTCCTTCCCTAAAAGGTAAAAATTCACTATGAGCAAGATAAAAGAAAACTACCAATTCTAATATAATCAGTTTCAGGTCAGGCTGGTAAATGGCATGTAAGAGAAGTGAAATTCTCAGTCAGTTTCCCACTTCCGGGACTAGCACAGACTGAGCCCTTTGGAAACAACATTGTGATGAAAGAATGATTCATACTGGTGTAACAGTTCACATCTGGAAATCTGAGCTGAGAAAGTGTCAGCCTGGGTAAGACTTCTCTACTTTGCATCTTAGGAACTTTGCATCTTAATTCTGTGAGACTTCTGAAGGAAAAAATCCCCTGTAATTTTGCAAATGTCTATTTTAAAAATAAGATGTTGGTAAGCTTTTATAGTTTACAGAGAAACCCTTATCACACTAATACCCAAGGGACCTGCAGAGATTGGCTACTTAGAAGAGGCAATCTCAATTCACTAAAAAACTTCATTGAAACCTTGGGCTAATTTTAAAAGGCTATGCATGACAGAAGTTGGAAGTCCAAGTGCAATTTATGCTGTAGGGTTCACCATGAAACCACTTTCTCTTGATTGCACAGGTGTAACTCTACTAACTCCAGGGATTTTTCTTTTTATTCATTTCAAAAGGAAAAAAACCCCCTATGCTAATACTGTATTTATTGAACACAAAGTGTGGCAATCTGCTGCACTGCCTTTTTGGCAGCCTGATGCCTAGTGAAATACACAGTTGCAGATTAGTCATTCAAGGTCCCTGTGCTGTAAGGGAGAAGAATTAGGACCTAACTCCTAAGTTCACAGAAGTTCTCATTGCACACAGATACACTAGCTAGCCAGGAAGAAATTCTTGAGAGAGGGACAGCTTTAATATATGGGATTTTTATACATGACTCTTGTTAGAATTGAGGCACCACTTTTCACTCAAATTTCACAGTTGTTAACACATCCTGGAGTTAGGTGCCTAAGCTAGGCCACTTTTCTCTCAAAAAAAAAACCCAAGGAAGAAGTACCCCCTTAATTCTGAGGTAGACAGAGCGAGACTCGTGTTCAGATCTCTCCTTCTCTA